ACTGGAAAAAAAAAAGAAATTATTGTTTCAGTATTTATGTTTCATCTCACCACCAAACAAACAATAAGTTTGTTTTTCTTTATGGTACTAGGGCTTAAATTCAAGGATTTACACAAAACTGTATCCTCAAACCTTTTTTTTTAATTTTTATTTTGAGGCAGGGTCTTGCTGAGTTTCACAGGCTGACTTTGAATTTCTACTCTTCCTGCCTCATTCTCCCTCAAATAATATGTTCTTGAAAAACACTTATTAATTTTTCTTCTCGTTTTAGGAGTGTCTGGAGTTTTTCAACATTCCAGAATCCCAGTCAACACATTATTTCCTCATGGATAAACGATGGAACCTTATCCACTACAATAAGGTGAGACAAGAGTAGTGACGGGCATGGTGAGTTGGCTCTACATGATTTTGAACTACATTTACTCCAACTCTTGGCCTTTTGGTGTGTTTGTCCAGAAAGTGAAGGTGAGGATAATAGTATCTGTGTTAGGGTACTTGTAACAATTGAAGGGGGAAAGCAAACAAAAGGCACCTAGTTCTTCATCATTATTATATCAAAGTGAAAAATATGTTATATCAAAGTGAAAAATTCCACATATACACACAACAGCCTGTTGTGTGTATATGTGGAATTGTGATGCCATTGTGGTTCTTCTTTCTACTGTGCTCCACTTGATGTTGGTGACATTTAATTTAATGAGCAAATAGGACCCTGGGGCTGATCCCTGGCAGCACTTGGTAAGACCTTCTCCTGCTCAGACATCTTTTGCATCCCTGTCTTTGTCTCTATTGCTCCCGACGTCAAGTGGCAAAGCATGATGGATGAATGGCAAGCTAGGTAGACTAAAGCTGATGTTCACCTCTGGGTTTCTAATTTTGGAGCATAAAGGTAGTTAAGAATTAAAACCATTAGAAAATAAAATGGTTTTGTTTGTCTGACCTTTGTGCAAAGAGGAAATGAAAATAAAATTTAACCATTTAAACTTTTTTTTGTCTCTTTGTGTAATCCACCACAGACCTACGTTCGAGATATTTATCCCTTCCGGAGGTCAGTATCACCGCAGCTGAACCTCGTCCATATGCATCCAGAGAAGGGACAGGAGCTCATTCAGAAACAGGTGTCTGACCACTCGCTTTTACCCTATTTCATGTCACTGAGATACGTGACCCATGAGTATGTGCCAGCCCTGAGACTGTGTGATACCCTCTGGAGAGAGAGTGAATAAATGGCTTGCTCAATAGGCTTTTGCTGAAAATAATGTGTATTTTATATATGAATTGAATCCTGAGGCACAGGCATTAAGAAAAAAGTCACTTGGAAAATGTTATTTTATTTGATTTAAACAATGTAAATCCTCTATTTACTCACTAATTTAAAAGTGTGGATTTTATTTCACACTTTCATAAAACAGGACTGGAAGTACATAAGTTGTAGCTATCAGATGGTTGCCCCAGAAGTCTCTGCCAGCTGAAAAATGAAAAGTAAAAGCTGTGGATGTCCCTGAAAAAGCACTGAATTCGAGTTCAGAGGTTTGGATTCCATCCCAACTTGGATACTGGCCAACAGCTTGACCTGGTCAGGAATCTGAACTTAACTTTTCTTAAAATGGGAAAAGAACATCGGGTCATTGTGTGTAGGTTTAGGAGTGAAGATCAGAAGGCTGTTCAAATGTCTAATCTCAAATCAGACTTTGAACTTAAGAAAAATTAATAGTCTGCATGCAAAATATGGCTTTAGTATGCAATTCTAAAGTTGATACAATTTTAGCATTGGTCACATATTACCCTTATTTCTTAAGACTATATGAGAATTTCATGATACTTCAGCCACTCAGTTTTTCTGTGCATATCAAAAATGCTAACTTGTCATCAAACTACTAAAAATGTCTACACAAGATTAATGAAAATGGCATAGAATTGACCAGTGAGGTGATTTTTGAACACTAGCTACCATTAACTGCTTAAGTTGCCTTATGAGAAATACTAA